ATGACTGTAATACCATCTGCCGGTGGTAATAAAACACAGAATTAAGATATAATTTATTATGTGAATTACCAAAGCAGTATAGTTTTTCTGTTTCTTAAAAAATTATTATCTCCCATGTCAAAACATATCCTCAGTAATTCACTCATTTTGTAATTATGAAACCTTTTGAAATCTCAGCCACACCCTGTTTCTCTCTTCTGCAAGCTGTTCTCTCTCTCTTTTTTATTGAAGTATAGTTGATTTATCATATTATATTAGTTTCAGGTGTACAACATAATGATTTGATATTTTTATAGATTTTACTTTATTTAAAGTTATTATAAAGTATTAGCTGTATGTCCTATGCTGTACACTATAACCTTGTAGCTTATTTATTTTCTAGCCAGTACTTTGTATCTCAATCTCCTGCCCCTATCTCGTCCCTCCTCCCACCCTTCTTCCCACTGGTAATCACTAGTTTGTTCTCTGTGAGCATGTTTCTCTTTTGTTATACTCATTTGTTTGCTTTAATTTTTTAGATTCCACATATAAATGAAAACATACTGTTCTCTTACTCTTGTTCAACTCATTTCACGCCCATCTGCACATCTCAGCTATTCTGGAATCTACAGGGTTGTTTCCTGTCACTTAGAGTCTTTGTGAAAACAGCATGTACAGAGGCAAATACTCACTTGTTGACCAATGATATAGATAACTTGACAGTGAGAGAGAGAGTTCATGAGCAAAGAAAGGAAAAAAGAACAGAGTAAGACATGGATGAAAAGGAAGCTCTTTTAAGTGGAAAAGTCAAGAGATACGTAGTGACTGGAGAGGGAAGGGGAGAAAGTTATGTAGTTCAGAACCCACGATCAGAACTCACGACGAAGGACTATGAAAGCTCTGGGCTTATTTATTTTTCTATTTCTACTGGCACACTGTTCGACGGCCATCAACCACTGGTAGTTATTGCCACTGATATTTAATTACATTTCCAAGGTTTCCAATGCCTTTAACAAAATATCACATGGAATCTTATCTAAAGTCTATTTTGTTGATCTACCATGAAATAATATCTAGACTAGGAATTAGCGAACTTTTTCTGTAAATGGCAGATAGTAAATATATTAGGCTTTAAGGTCTCTGTTGTAACTATTCAGCTTGGTAGGCAGAGCACAAAAGCAGTCACATAGACCATATGTAAATGAATGTGTGGCTGTGTTCTAATAAAACTATCTACAAACAGAGGTGGCAGGTCAGATTTGGCCCATGGACCACAGGTTGCTGACCCCTGATCTGGACCAATATCATCTTCAGCAATCTCTCAACATCCTCTTAGTATTTTCTATTTGACTCCTTCTCCCAATGCAGGTTTGAATTATATTTCTGGACAACAAATACAGTTCACTCTTGAGAAATTATTTTGAAATACATATTAAAATATTAATGACACATAATATTGTCAAGTCAATCTTTCTTCTCAGGGATAATCATCAATGTCACATAAAAGCACTTCCTACTTGCCCCTTATGTAAATCTTTTAATTGAAATGTTTTCAACAATGGGAAAAAATTTGACTGCCCAAATTATTTTTTAAAAAAGCAACTTAATTTAAAATTTATTATTCTTTAAAAAATATTATTCTTAAAAAATATACTGTGGGACTCCTCTGCTTTAAAGTCTTCTTTAGCTCCCCAGTCCCCTAGAACAAACTCTTTAGCACAGCATACAAGGTCATTCAAAAGACGGCCCCAACCTCTCTTTCTGATTTTATTTTCTACTACCTTCTGTTCATTTCTACTATTTTCTGTTCTTTCTATATAAGAATAAAAACATGACCGACAATACTGTATAAAAGCTTACAGGAGATAAACACTGACACTTCAGGAAGCAGTTACCTCTGGAAAGGGGAAAAGATACTGGGAAGGGGAGCCCTAGGGATTGCAACAATAACTGAGGTGATTTTTTAAAATGGTGATATTAATGAAAATATTAAATAAAGCAAAGATCTGAAGCAAAGCTATGGCAAAACGTTAAGATTTAACACTAAGTTGTGGGTAATGAGTGCTTTTTGTATTATTCACAATACTTTTCTGTTTGTTTAAAACAGGGGTTGTAAATTACAGTCTGTGGGTTAAATCTAGCCCACTGCCCATTTTTTAAGGCGTGGAGCTAAGAATAGTTTTACATTATTACAGAGCTGTTTAAAAAAACAGACTATGTGACAGACACCTTGTAACCTGCAAAGCCTAAAATATTCACTCTTTGGCCCTTTACAGAAAACATTTGCCAACTCCTGATTTAAAATATTTCATAAGAAGTAAAGAAAGATTTTAAAAAAAGGTAGGAAGGTAACTGAGTCAAGGAAGAATGGTTTTGTTTTCTTGCATTAAGTATCTTCCTAAATTAAACATTTTATATTACCCGTCTCTTTAATTTTTCATGAATTACTTCTTCAACTTTTATCAGGAAATCTCATCATCTTACCGGGGGTGGGGGAAACCATGTATGGTGACAGATGGTAACTAGACTTATTGTGGTGATCATTTCAGACTGTACACAAATATCAAATCATTATATTGTACACATGAAACTAATGTTATATGTCAATTATCCCTCTATTAAAAAAATATGTACCTCTAGGGGAAAAAAGAAGAAATTTCATCAAATTTTATTCTACGATTTTGGAACTTATTTAAAAGACTTATGGGAGAGTTTTTTAACACGATTTTTGTTTCGGTCCTTACTTGTCAAAAAACTGGGAAGCTCACTTAGAGCCCAGTGTGTTGTTTTTACGTAGCTGTACTTAGACTGGGGATCTGCTTAAGAGCTGTCGGCCAGGGACACAGGAGAGAGGCTGCGCAGGACCTGCTCCTGGCTTACGGTTGACACTTTCTGCTTTCTGCAGCCCACCTCTTCTAGAAGAATTCTGTCTCCTTTTTTCACAGAACATAATGGGACAAGAGGGTTAAATAAAATTCAAAACACTGTATTACAGTAAGCGTTTCTGGCTGTACTGGTTGTGAGACACTGGAATATGTTATCAGAGAAGGTTTTTTTTATGGGTAAAATAGTGAGATAATACATCTAAATATTTTAGCATGCCTCAGATCACAAGGACTGTTAGATGTAATTACCATTTTGAGGTTGCAAATAGCTATTTTCTTTTCTTTCTAAAATATTAAGCACATCAGTATTGGCTGGGTACATGAAAGAATTTTTCTTATTTTTATAATTAACTTCCACTGTTTCTCCCCCTAGCACTGACCTACCTTAACTAAAGATATTCCCATTTGTGAATCAATGGGTGAGGAGACTCAGAGATTTCAAAGAAAGGCTCAGTGAACAACTGAGGATGTTGAGCCCCAAATTACTTAATCACCTTAAGTATATATTGCTTTAAATTTTAGTGTCTAAAAATGTGCACAGGAGAACAGCCACAAAACAAATATGGAGTAAAAATTATTTATCTGATCACAATATGCATTTTTTCCTACTCCAATGAAAATATTAATGAGAACGCTAAAATAATAAGTAGCTTGTTTTTTAACCTGGCCACATTTACGTCATCTCTAATATCCATTAGAAAAATCTACTATATTAAAGACATGCAAAAAGGCGTAAAATATGACAAAATACTTGGGACCCATCACCAGATTATGAACTAGAACTACAATATTACTGAGGCTTCTATGTACACTTTCTCAGCTCCATCTCTCTTCCTTCCTCTAGGGATTAATCATTGTTCTGAACACTATATTTGATGTATCCATGTGTTTCTTCATACTTTTTGTACGAATGTAAATATCTCTAAATAATTCATAACATTATTTAACAACCTGCTTTGTTGATTTGGCTTTATGCCTGAATTCATACATGTTGACATGTATGGTATATTCATATGTAGAGACAGTGCTCACCAAATATTCTATGTGCTCCCCTACGATTCTCAGACCTTAGGCTGGAATCACTGGACTGATCAGATGGGAAGTATGTCATGTGTGGGACAAGGCAGTTAAAAGCACCACCTTTTCTTCCCCTTCCTCAGTGAACTCATAAGCCACATATTCTCGGTGGGGCAATGGGGCAGCTGTAGGAACATGGAGCATCCCTGAGTGAGGTGGAGCAGAGCCTCTTACTAAGCCACACTGGACATACACAATGAACAGGAACAATCCTGTTGTGCTAAAGCATACACACATACCTACAAATGGGCGGTTAACTCCCTTTCTGGGATTATTCAAAAGCGATGCTATAAGTAGCAGGGTAGATTCAAAGGCTTTTGAAAATACTTCTATCCTATGACTCTAGGTTGCTATTTATTCTCAATTGCATGGTGAAGGAAATCTCATATACTCTAGTCTTTACCTTCTTTGAAAGATCTACTGGACTAACAAAACCTTCATACATGTGCTTACAGGTCCGGGTACTGTTTCTGGTATGTTAGTTTTGTTTCCCCAACTAGACTTTAAGCTCTTTAAGAGTCATGTCTACTCGAGGGGTGGGTATAGTTCAGTGGTAGAGAGCATGCTTAGGAGTCCTAGGTTCAATCCCCGGTACCTCCATCAAAAAAAAAAAAAAGAAAAAAAAGAAAAGAAAAGTTATGTACCCTACCCAGCACCCTTGCAGTCTATACAAGCATACAGTAATGGGTGGCCTACTGGTTGACTGAGGAGGGTGAGAACTAATATTAAATGTCTACTTTGTGTAAGGAACTTTACTTGTGTTTCACATAAGTTATCTTGATTATTATTTCCATTATATAGATGAGCATATCAAGGCTAAGTAACTTTCCTTTGGTCACTGAACCTAGGAAGAAAATAAAGGGTGTGGGGAAGACAGTTGAAGCCAGTCTCCCTGACACTAAAGACTTTGCCCTTTAGTTTTTTTCACTGAACTTAGTGAGACCATGCCTAGTGTAGGGCAGGAGCTTTAGCAGAACATCAAATGGATAACAAAAATTAAAAAAAAATTTCGCAAACATTAGAACATTTCTTTGGAGAATGTAGATTGTTGGGTCTTACCTTGATCACCTCTGGGGTCTGCTGAATCAAAACCACTGAAGTAGTATCTTTGGCTTTATCACCAACAGGACTTCTACAGCCTGGTAAATTGGCCTGGGAGGGAGTTGTCAAGGTTTCCTGTAGAATTTGCATCATTTCTTTTTCTTGTGATAGGCTCCCTCTGCCTGATTTGCATTCAACCAGTTCTTGAGCAAAGTCTTCAATGCTTTCTAGAATTCGCAGTAAGAGGGCTCGATCTTCTTCCTCTATTTTGTGTCCATTGGTTTCAATAATCCTTGTTAGACAGGAAGGTGAGACTTTTTCCGTGGGTGAGGAGACTTTAGATTTAGGCTCAAGATCTACAGGGAACTGACCAGTTAACTGACTAGGACTATTTAGAGAGTTAGAGCTTTTACCTTTGGCAAGAGGCTCTCCTAGAGAGGTCTCCATTTTCTGTGAGAAAGATTCCAAATCCATTAACAATTTATCTATCTCTTCCTGACTGTTAGGATCCATAAAATCTCTGTGGTTTCCCTCTTCAACTTTAGGAACTTTTGGTTTAGGATCTTCCTCAAGTAGATTAACAACTGGTTTCTCAAATATCTTACCAATTTCATTTTGCATTGAGGCAGGACCTTTTTTAAGATGAGTACCACGGTCTGAAACTTCTTCTCTGTCTTTGTGTACCTTTAACAACTCCTGACTGGGTCCATTCTCTGTCCTCTGCCCTTCATCTAATGCTTTCTTTCCATCTGACTCTTCTTCAATATAAAGGGTTTCCATTAGCCCACCAGAAGAAACACTTTCTAAAGGGTTCATGGTTAATGACTGTGATTGAGGTTGGGCATCTTTTAGAGTTCTGGGATCACTTATCTCTAAATTATATAAGGAAGTCGTAGAGTTGTCTGGAATGGATTTTGCAGTGTCTGTTTTCCTAGAACTGTGCTTGTCATCTTGCAGTTCTATAGTCTGAAACTGTCCAGGGTCAGGGGCTGAGAGCTGGACAACATCTTCATATTTAGGGGGCTGTTCAGTGCCAAATACTGGGGAGAAGGGAGTCAGTTGTAAACTAGGCATATTACTGACCAGTTCTGTTAAATCTATAGCCTCATTATTCCCAGAATGCATGAACTCAAATGGTAGCTTTTTCAGATAGGATGCTAACCTGGTCATTACATTCATATAGAGAGTTTCAGAGCTAGAAACTGCATCCTTACCATTTCCTTCATTGATGCTACTTCCTGATTTTTTCTTTATGCATTGTTTTATGATGTCTGTGCATTTTTTCAAATCCTCAGAGCATTTTAGCAAGATGTCTAAGCACATCTTTATGTCTGTTCCAGAAGAAAAATTATCTATTTTATGTTTTTCCAAAATCTGAGTAACCAGGTCTTCTTCAGAGAAGTTGTGAAGAAGCATTGAAGTCAGGTTTGTATCAAGTGAGTTTCTATGGGATAAAGATTTTTCCTCAACTGAGGAACTCCGGAGTAAACCAAAGGATGGGGAGTTCCCTTCATTGTTATAATGGCCACAGAGCAAGTCAATATCAACTGACCTCCTATTAAATGAGTCAGACTTAACCTTCCTTCCCTTTTTGTAAGCTGCATGATTAGAGTTTTTGAGTTTTTCCAGGGAAAATTCTTTTATTTTCCCACTGGCAAAGCTGATTGCTTCTCCTGCAATGTCCTTTAAGTTACAGGTGTTCTGAAATGTAGATCCTTTCTTGACCCTGGGTATGCCTGTGAGGGCCTGATGGGGATAGTCACCTTCAACTGAGGAAAATCCATTTTCATGGGGTAGAAATATAGAGTTCAGATCTGCATCTTTGAACTGAGACACAGGGATGTGCAAGAGGTCTGCACAAACACTATGATGTACCACAATGCAGTCAACCCCATGTGTGAAGGTGTGGCAGGTTCCAGTGCAGTAATGTATAGCTTGCTCAAAACGCCGGTCTATCACCACGCTGCTGTAGTGGTTCACAGTACTAACCACAAGTCTGTAAGTTGCTGCCATCATACCAAATCCACTCAGTGGTGGGATGTGGAATTTTCTAGAACTTGTTTCAAGTAAATTCTAAATGACACTCAGCTGAAAATATATTTGATGCCAATGTTCAGTGGTTTCTTGCAAATATAATGACTTTTCCCACAAAGGGAAACCATCTAAATTTGAGGTTTGGTAACTGTCAGGATACAGTAGCTTTTGCACACGCGTGCTTGTATTAGCAAGTCTAATAATTTAATAATTGTGCTTTTGAGTTTTATTTAGTAATATCATGATACTATAGGTTTATTTTTAGGAATAAATTTTAAGAAGAATAAAGAACATTCCCTGTTCTTCAGCAGTTGTATGACGCAGACATGTACAGTCATAAATTTACTGTCATGAATCTCAGTTGGTAACACTGAAGTATTGGAAAACTGAGTCCTCCAAAGGTTTAAATGATCCATTTTTCTGTGAATGACAGAGAAACCTATAATGAAAAAAGAAAATAATTAAAAGTGAATTTTGATCTCTTAATACTGAGAGAACCTTTCCTCTTCCTTTGCATCCCATATACAGTTAATCATCGAGCCTTATTCTTTGCTACATTACTGGTGGCTTATCTTTGAATCACGCCTTTGCTTACACGCCCTACACTAGTATTACCTCATCTCTGCCTTATTATGACTACCTCCCAGTTGGTACTTCTTTTTTTTTAAAATTTATTTTTTATCTTTTGTGGGGGGAGCTTTTGTCTTTTGTGGGAGGTAATTAGGTTTATTTACTTACTTATTTTTAGAGGCAGTACTGGGGATTGAATACAGAACCCTTGGATGCTAAGCAAGCACTCTACCACTTGAGCTATACCCTCTCGCCAAGTTGGTATTTCTTATCCCACCCTCCTTACTACCTTATGTGACACTACTTAGCTTGGATTTAGACAGCTTTCTTGCCCCTCACAGTTCAAGAACTCAGACTACTGATCTCCATCATGCATTATGGCAGGCCTAGCTCCTTGGACTCATTTTCAAGACTTTTAACATCTGTTCCCATCCACCTGTAATCTTATTTTCTGCTACTGCGCTGAACCAACATTTTGCCTCTATCAACCCAGTCTTCTTAAAGACGGCCAACACATAGTGCTTGTCTAGATTGTACAACCTCCTCTACATTTGGAAATTATTCCATCATCTTCTCTTTTCTTACTATCTAAGAGAGAGAAAAAGACAACCATTACTACTGTTCTTGATCTCATCCTTTCTAACCCTGCCACATGCAGATCACTCTCTCTTGTCATTAAGTGGACAGAGTTTAATTATTCTCTTATTCTAAAAAAAAAAGGGCTTTAAAATCATGTTGTAAGTTGCTTTCCAAAAAGGTTCAATCAATGTACTCACTCAGTCAATAAATACTGAGTGCCTACTATGTGCCTACTACTTGCTGAGTGTTAGGGATACAGCAGTCCTATGGAACTGTCCTTATGGAACTGACAATCCAGTTGGAAAAAGAAAAACACATATATGAACATATAACTTAGATGGTGATACATGCTAAAGAGAAAAATGAAGCAGAGAAAGTGTCCAGAAAGGATGAGAGGGTGCTGTGTTACGAAGAGCAGTCAGGGAAGACCTCATCGACCTCTGATCAAAGACGTGAAAAGAGAGGGAGCAGGCTGAAGAGGTATTTTGAGCTAAGTCATCTCAGGCACAGTAACCATAAGTACAAAGGCCCTGGGTGGGAGCATGCTTGATTTACTACAAGAATGACAAGGCTAAAGTGTCTGAAGCAGAAAAAGCAAGGGGGCAGCGTGGAAGACGAGGTCAGAAAGGAAATGTAGGAGTCTAAATCATGCAGGGTCTGTAGACTATTATGAAGAATTTGGCTTTAGTCTGAGTTGGGAAACAATTGACGTCTACTGAGCAGAGCAATGACGTGATCAGACTTACATTTCAAATTGGCAATTGTGCTTCTGTGTTCAGAGGAGACTGTAGAGGAGCAAGGTAAGAAGCTGGGAGACAAGTTAGGGGCTACGGCACGAAATCAGGCAAGAAGGCTGGGGGGCTTGAACCCGGAGAGGAACAGTGAAGATATCTGGATGACGTATATATTTCAAACACAGAGCCAGTGTGAGTTGCTGAACAACAGAATGTGCAATAAATTCTACTGCATCAAGAATGGTGGGCTAAGGCAAGGATAGGAAAGAGATGACGACAGCAATGAAGGAGAGTATCAGTTTAACTCTACCAACAATCGCATTGGTGTTTTAACAATAAAAACCTTTACCCATTTAATAATGAGAAACAGAACTTCACTGTTTTCATTATTACTTCTTCAACCCTAAAAAATTCTATTTATTTTGCTAATTTCTTATATTTCTTCTCTGGTAAATTGTCTATTGCATCATTTACTCATTTAGGCTATTAGAGACTTGGTGAATAAAAATACAATTAATACAATTAATTCATGAAGAACATTTTCTTTTTTTCCCCACAAAATATTTATTTAGAGCCTGCCATGAGGCAGGTAATAACGTTGAAGAACCTGTCCTTTTGATGAATTCTCACAATGGTTAGAGTATTCTTGGCTCCTTTTGAGCCAATGATTAGTACTCTCATTATGACAGTCCTACACTATCATAATTACTGTTGTCTTACTAAGTTTTACTACCTGTTTCTTTCTCATATCCCTAATTATGATTCTTTTTTATGCTCCAAATGTTCTTTGATGGTCTTCCAAATGAATTTTTGTATTGCCCAGTTTTAAGAAAAATCCTACTGGAATCTGATTATAATTGTAATATACTTACGAATTACTTTGAAGGAACAATGATATCATTACAAAATTCAGATTTTCTACCCACAAAGATATAAATCTTAATTTCAATATTCCTTTATTTCTCTCTGTGGTCTTCTTCAGGTAGGTCACTCTGTTCTTTTTGTCCTTCAGTGTCTCAACTTTGCTGCTATGTGAATGGATCTTGAGCTATTGTTTCATCTTCTACTTCTCCGCATTCAAATTACAGATGGTGGCTCATACAAAACTATAAAGCCAGATAGCATGCAGGATGGATGAAGCTGAACTGGGAAGAAGTGCCATAGTAAAGGAAGTGCCTGGTAATTTTTAACTGAAAATACAAAGATGCCAAAGAGGAATAAGTGTTATGGGACAAAAGGCTAGAACATGGCAATGGAAGGAATTACCTTTTCAAAAGATGCACATCTGGAAGACAGGGAAGAAATAGCACCAAACATGAAAAACTATGCACCTTTTCAGAAATATAAGCTTTTGAAAGAGATTTGGGGTAAGGATAAAAGGGAAGGAAAACAAAGAATACTGTTAAGTATTTTAGAATAACCATATGAGAACTACTAGGACTATATCCTAATACAGGTGATAAAACTGGTTCAGAATCAAAACACATAAGTGTTGGAAAATTTAAATATCCAGGTACCTATTAAAACATATGTCAGATAAATTCCTAAGCTTATACAAAGACTATTTTATTTTTCTAAAATTTGAGAAATTAAAGAGAAATATTTCTCTAGGCTTGAAAATAATCAAAACAATCAGTTGATAAGGTAACATGGCAGAAAATACAAGAAAGTATTCATGTGATATTAGAATCTGAAAGAGTCAAGGAGGAGCGAACACTGGCCAAGGTCAGAAGTATACTTTTATACCAGTGCTGTCCAACAAAATGTTCTGCATTGACAGAAAGAGTCCATATCTGCACTATCTGATATAGCTGCCATTAGCCACATGGCAGCATTTTAAACATGGTTAGTGTAACTGAAGTACTGAATTTAAAACATTTTAGTTTTGCAGTTTTTTTAACTGAAGTAAGTCAGTTTGCAATTTTCTGTCAATTCCTGGTGTATAGAAAAGTGTTTCAGTCATACATGTACATACATATATTCCTTTTTATATTCTTTTTTATTATAGGCTATTACAAAGTATTGAATATAGTTTCCTGTGCTATACAGGACTTTGTTGTTTATCTATTTTACACATAGTAGTTTGTATCTGCACATTTTGAACTCCTAATTTATCCCTTCCCAGCCCATTCCCCACTGGTAACCATAAGTTTGTTTTCTATGTCTGTGAGTCTATTCCTGTTTTGTAAATAAGTCCATTTTTTTTTGGTTCCACAGATAAGTGACATCATATGATATTTGTCTTTCTCTGTCTGACTTACTTCATTTAATATGATAATCTCTAGGTCCATCCATGTTGCTACAAATGGCATTGTTTCATTCTTTTATATGGCTGAGTAGTATTCCATTCTATACCACATCTTCTTTAACCAATCATCTGTTGATGGACATTTAGGTTGCTTCCATGTCTTGGCTATTGTAAATAATGCTGTTATGAACATTGGGGTGCATATATTTTTTTGAATTAGAGTTCACTCTGGATAGATGTCCAGGAGTGGGATTGCTGGATCACACGGTAAGTCTATTTTTCATTTTTTAAGGAACCTCCATACTGTTTTCCATAATGGTTGCACTAATTTACATTCCCACCAACAGTGCAGGAGGGTTCCTTTTAGTTTTGAAAATATTTTAGACTCACACAGAAGTTAAAAATAGTGCAGAGAATTCCCATGTACCAGTTTCCCAGTTTCCTCCAATGGTAACTTCCTACATCACCACAGTACAATGATCAAAACCAGGAAAATGACACTGGTACTGTTAATTGAACTACTGACCTTATTTGGATTTTACCAGCTGTACATGCACTCACTCCTTCCTTTTCTTTCCTTCCTCCCTTCCTTTTATAGTAACTATCACCACAATCAGGATACAGAACTATCCTGCTAGTCCTCAAAACTCCCTCATACTACTCTTTTGTCATCATCCAGTCAACAGACCACTGATCTGTTCTCCATCATTATGATTTTGTCATTTCAAGAATATTTTATGTATGGAATCATACAGTATGTGAACTTTTGAGATGGGCTTCTCTCGCTGAACACAATGATTTTGAGGGTCATACACTACCATGTGTATCAACAGCTCATTCCTTTTTATTGCTGAGTAGTAGTCCATTGTGCAGATATACAGTTTGTTTGCCCATTCACTCATTAAAGGTTATTTATGTTGTTTCTAGTTTTTGGTTATTACAAATAAACTGCAGTGAATATTAGTGTGTAAGTTTTTGTGTGAACGTAGTTGTCATTTCTCTAGGGTAAATAACTACAAGTCTGACTTTTGGGTTGTATGTTAGGTATATTTTTTTTATAAGAAACGGCCAGCTGTTTACCAGAGTGGCTATACCATTTTACATTCCCACCAGTAATACATGAGCAATACGGTTGATTCCACATCCTATTCAACATTTGCAATTATCAATATTTTCTATTTTAGCCATTTGAATAGTGTGCAGTGTTAATTCATTGGGGCTTTAACTTACATTTCCCTTATGTTAATGATGTTGAACATCTTTTCCTGTGCTTATTGACCAGCCCCATATCTTCCCTGGAGAAGTGCT